AGCACAGCCCTCGCTTAGCCAAATGAACTCGGCAAATGAGCTGCTCACTCTTGCTTTCCATATCTTCCCTCCCAATTTCCTCCTTATGACGCGCAGGAGACCGTCGGTCTCGGCTCTACCGTGTTATCGATATAAGATAAAGTCGAGGCAAATCATGGATGGAGGATTCAGTGCTCACAGAGATTGCGCGGAACCCCTGATGAAACATTGACGACCAGAAAATGGCAGCCCTTGAAGGCGCTCAGTTCACGTTGAGTCCCTATCGCCCCGCAAGTCGTACGGCCAACGTTTCTCCCTTCAAGAGCGCGTCATTTATCATAGTATATCGTGCCCGGAGTTCCTTAAACAATTATGCATAGATTCGGGGACTCGAGGTCGGATCGGAGTCAAGGAGAAAAACCAGTGGCGTGAGAACATACATCAGTCCCCCGTCGCGTAGCAGCCTGTAGCAGCCCCATCGACGTCCTCTCTGAGCCACACCTGGTACTTAAGGGCCATGATGAGCTACCGTCACAAGTTTGACTCGCACCAATGCCTTTATCTATTCCAGGGATGACGCACATATGCGACAAACACTCGCCCCTATTAGAATGGCGCGACAAGCAAGCTGAAATACCGTCAAGTTCATCCAAGTGACCGCTGAAGCGGGCTTTACAAGTGACTGGCTGTTCTGGGGACATTCAGCTTTCTGTGCAGGCGGAATTATTGCTGACAACAGCCTAGATGTTGACAATGCTCTCCCCAATTACCAGAAGCTCCGATGCATGCTCATAGGTGGACTCTGCCGTGCTTATTCGGTGTATACCCTTAGAAATTATGCTCGCATGTTACCTACATTGAATAATATTCTCATTCTCACTACGTCGGCTACGCCATCCGCGCTAACATCCCACCTATTTGGAGCGACTCGCATTCCATCGGACCACCGGGCTTCAGATATCTTCGACTATTGTACAGAGATGAGAGATCAACGTGCCGAAAGCGTTACAGCGGCGAATGTACATGCGGTCTACTCCGATATGTGAGCTTTGATGATTTTCTCTTAGGGCCAGAAAGGTAACGACGTTGAGCGGGCGCTGTGTGGCATACTTGCTGTTTAACCTCCATCTGCGGCGGCAGGGCGTGCATGTGGGTTTCCGTTCACCTGGCGATTTGACTCGCCATACTTATGTGGTGCTGCTTATCAAAGGTCTTCTTGTCTGTGCTCGTCGAGAGCCACCCATGAAGGGCAAATTATGCGATGCCTGAGCGGTGCTTAGATCCCATGCATCAGTCAAAGGCGGCGAGAATGAGCCATCGCGTATACCACTTAGGCTCGCGCTCGCGAAGTAATGCAGAGCCGCATCGATCAGCTGACCGAGGCTTGTTAGACAGGTGAGAACGGTCCTATGCAGCAATGACTGTTATCGCCTGCAGCTGTAGATATGCTTTGCCTTTTCCGCGTTGCATAACGATTTGTTCGTCCCGATACCGGTTTCCATTCGGTTTGCCTACTGCCCAACGTCGTCACATGACAGTGATTCCCGTATCATCTTCGCGGAAGCACCGTTGCAGACTGTTGCAGATAGATCCACGCTAAACCGTCTTGTGGCTTGCGGAACCTGATCTGAGGCTGAATACGGAGATGATGACGATACCGTGGGATCCAGTACCAGACACCACTGGAGCAAATCTTCCTATCGAGAAATGAAACCGATGAAGCAAGGAAAGCGATGGCGAATTACGTCATCTCCACCTTCTCAGGCCCCGTGCCGGGTTGCCGCAACGTGTCTTGGGAACGAACCACCATCGCCGGACGAGCGGACTCGAGATCTCGCAGACAAGTGTTGTCGTCGTTCGCAATACGCCTGAGCCTGCCACGAGGATCCCTGCACACATGACTGCATTAGAATCGCCGAGAGGGAACATGTCCTCAGCTAGCTTACGATTTTTCACTGGCTTTGCTTGATGTGATCATCGCTGTTAGGAAGTCCGCCTTCGCCAAGGGGAAGTATGGAAAGCAAGAGTGAGCAGCTCATTTGCCGAGTTCATTTGGCTAAGCGAGGGCTGT